TATATATATATATATATATATATATATATATATATATGCATCTCAGCTGCAGATGGTGATTGTTTCACACAACTTCATGTCCAAAAGCCTGAACTATCCTTTTAACACATTCATCATCATCACCGTATAGATTTTGGCTCAGAAGTTTTAAAGTCTAACCTCACAACTAGAAATCAAGCATTCAAAAAGTAGGTTGCAAAAGACCTGCATGCTGTCTACAACTGCAAAACAAGTAAATGGTTGCTGAGCAAATAAACATAACCTATTTTATGCTTTGTACATGTCACATGCAGGTAATGAAGTTAATTCTGAAAAGCATTATATGCATATTTTGCCATTTGCGGGGAATTTATTGTGACTGTAGTTACCCAGCTGTTTAACATCATTGAGTATAAACAAAAATACTGAGCAGATTCCAGCTGGAAAGAGTGAGGGTCCATCTTGTCTTATCTTTTTACCATCTTCAGCCTTCAGGGGCCTCTGGCTTATGTCATAGAGCATTGGTATGCACAAACTTTTTGAAGGGTAAGGGAAGAACAAAAAAAAGGGGCTGATATAGCACCTATTCAAGAACATAGAAAACACTTTAACACACACTTTGGCTCAAGAGAGAACACAATAACATGCAGTTTGGTTCAACAGAGGGCACATTTGCACATGCGTTTGGCTCCAGAGAGGCCACTTTAGTCCTCGCCTTGGTGTCAGAGAGGGCACTTTAGCACATGCTTTGGTTCCAGAAAGGGATCCTTAACCCTTATTTTGGCTACAGAGAAGGAACTTTAGCACACGCACTTTGCTTCAGAGAGGGCACTTTAGCACGTATTATTTTGGTTCCAGAGAGGGCACTTTAGCACATGCTTTGGTTCCAGAAAGGGATCCTTAACACTTATTTTGGCTCCAGAGAGGGAACTTTAGCACACTTTTGCTCCAGAGAGGGCACTTTAACATGTATTTTGGTTCCAGAGAGGGCACTTTAACACTTATTTTGATTCCAGAGAGGGCACTTTAGCACATGCTTTGGCTCAAGAGAGAACACAATAACATGCAGTTTGGTTCAACAGAGGGCACATTTGCACATGCTTTGGCTCCAGAGAGGCCACTTTAGTCCTCGCCTTGGTGTCAGAGAGGGCACTTTAGTCCTCGCCTTGGTGTCAGAGAGGGCACTTTAGCACATGCTTTGGTTCCAGAAAGGGATCCTTAACACTTACTTTGGCTACAGAGAAGGAACTTAAGCACACGCACTTTGCTTCAGAGAGGGCACTTTAGCACGTATTATTTTGGTTCCAGAGAGGGCACTTTAGCACATGCTTTGGCTCCAGAGAGGGATCTTTAACACTTATTTTGGTTCCAGAGAGGGAACGTAGCACACACTTTGGCTTCAGACAGAGTACTTTAACACTAATTTTTGTTCCAGAGATGGAACGTAGCACACACTTTGGCTCCAGAGAGGGCCCTTGTTTCTTAAAAGATTTCCCTCAAATTTATGTGATAATGTACAGAATAAGAATAAAACATGTCCATGAGAAAACGTCCAAAAACCTCGAGACCAGCATAAAGAATTACATGTAATTCTCAGAACTATACTTTTTTCTTAATATAGAGACAAAAAAACAGAATAGTTTGCATGGGTAGTATCAGTACTGAGCCTTATCTAAATGGGTCCTTGAAGCAACCCACCAACAAAGCAAGTAGGGCTTCAAATATTTTAGTAGAGTTTGACTGTCTTTATCCAACCTGTTTTTTTTTAGATTATTTATTTTACTTCAGTCTTTTTTTCAGTCCCATTAAATTTGATTTAGTTGGCCCTTCTTGCAACACAAAATATATTACATCACTTGACAAGCAGTAGAGGATTGATGGATAACTGCAACTTTCTGCTTTTCTCAAACTTAATTAACTTCATTTCATCTACAACTACAGTCAAGATCAGTTTCAATTGAGCACTTACTGTATAAGCAAATTAAAAACCTCAAAAGCCTATCTAGTAAGATATAGTGC